GCAGATAGCGGAATTTGTAGGACAATTTCGTGACCAAGAAGTGGATGAGGAGCTGCTAATTGAGGATGAGGAAGAAGACATGCACACGGCAAGGGTAGAACAACCCTTGCCGCAGCCCCCTAAGCCCTCTAAACCACCCACCACAAGTAAGGACGTCCAAATTCCATGTTATTCTGATGTTATTCCACCCAATGTCCCTTTTCCTAGCAGGTTTTTGATTCCCAACCAAGAAGAGAGTAAAAAGGACATCGTGGAAGCCTTCCCAAAGGTGCAGAATGCTATTCCAATTCTTGGTGCAACACAGCAAGTTTTAGATGGTGTTGAATTCTTCAAAGGACTTTGTACACCAAGAAGAATGATTCAAGAGAAGGTAGTGGCTGGAGAAGATGTAGAAGGCATCAAAGAGGACATATTTGAAACTACAAAACCCAAAAAAGTTGAATTTGATGACATTGGACAAGTCATAACCATCACATGCAATCTGGCCAAGTCCAATATCCCTGAAACTTTCAAAGGAGTGGTGTTTGTCATTGAGTTCTTGTCGGACAAAACAAGTAAGTCATCTTCTCCAAATTCCATTACATTTTATACTAACTGGCTGATTTTGATGAATCAGGCACCTACACTAGAATTCAAACCAATGCCGGTTCACTTCAAGTATCACTTTCCATTCAAGGATCCATTCTATGCCGTGAGTCCTAGTGGAGATTAAAGGAAGGTTTCGTCCGGCTGGAAGACGTTAAAGCAAGCGCTTCTTGGGAGGCAACCCATGCAATCAACAAAGGAAGAACTTGGGAATCGCTCCACACTCAGATTTGCGTCCCTAAACCCTTCCCTTTGTTGCTTACTTTATGCTTTGTGTAATGTTTTTAATTGTGTCTAAAACATTGAGGACAATGTTTAGTTTAAGTGTGGGGGGGTAACATTCTGTTTTGAGATATTTGTGCATGAAATTCGTAGGGTTTTACCACCTAGCATGTCTAAACTTGTTTCCCACTGTTTTTAAGTGTTTTTAAGCTATTTTAGAGTGTTTTAGAGTGTGTTCACTTAAAAATCCGAAAATACCATAAAAATTTGAAAAATTGTTTTGAAAAACCCAAAAAGAGTTGTTTTTGTGTGTTTGTTTGTGTCGTAGGTCACCTTCCAACACAATGATGAGGATTTGGTTTTTAATTGCATGATGGTTAAAGAAAGTTACAAACATGGTTGGACGTTTGATATACTCTTGGTTTATGCTTGTTTGTAGTTATAGTTTACGAATTCACATGTAATCACAAATGATAAAAATCAGTTTTTGTAACATGCTTGAAGGAAGGAACTCAAACTAACACTACATCCCTGTGAGACTTGAGCCTAAACGTTATTTGGAGAGTTAAAATCTGTGCATTATTGTTTTCTAAAGTCGTTGCATGATCTCATTATTCATTGCTTGGTTACTACTTAGAAGGCGTTTTATCACTTAGTTCCAAATGCTAGAACTCATGCCCATTTCATTCAAAGCATGTCATTGATATGCATAACACATATTCAAGATGAAGTTGTGTAGTGACCACCACCATAGCCAAACAGCCATGTGCCCTTCACTCATTTTGTGTTTAAGTTTAACCCCATTGAGCCGTGTTAGCCCATATTCTTTGTTAACCCGCATTATCTTCACCTAGCCTAGATTAGGACCATCCTTACCCTTGTTCTTGAAGCATAGTAAGCAATGAATTCCTTTTGAGTAATGTGTTGCAGAAAATAAGTGTGGGGGAAGAATTATGGATGTGAGTTTTTGTGCCATAGGCACGGTTAAGAAAAGAAAAAAAAAGAAGAAAGAAAAGAAAAAAAAAAAAAAAATATTGAAAAGTATTGGTTGTTGAAGTAAGGGCCCAAAACAATGAATTTGGCCCTAAGAGTTGTTTGAATCTTCCCTATTTGTTTAAAAGTTGATTTCTGCATTCTAAGGGAATTCTAGGTCTTAATTTCTTTACTTTACTCACTATTGCTTAAAGAACTTTTGTTTATCCCTACCTTTCCTTGTTAGCCAATACCCCAAGCCCCGTTACAACCCTTGACTTCTATCTTGAGTGTTGTGCATTTCAATTGTGGAGTTTGAATTTGGTATGAGCATATGGTGTCACTGGTTCTCGCATCTAAGTAGTAGCATTCCATTCATGAGATCATATCTAAACACATTTAATTATTCCAGAAATTGCGTTCTTTGTTATAACATATGTGAGTACTAGTCTTTCATGTTTACATTAATCTTCTCACATATAACTAGTGTAGGGTGTGTAGTCAGAAAAGATGAGTGAAAATTGAGTGCATAACTAGTGAGGAATTGAGGGAATTCTCTAAGGCATGTTACTACATTCAAAATGTGTTTTAATTGATTAAATGCGAACTAGTGAATGGTGACTATGATTAAGTATGTCCTTGAGGGGAAGGAAGACTAAAAACTATGCGAGTAATGATCTTTGACATGTCATGTTTCATTAGAAATCCCTGAGGTAATCGTTGGAAGGTTTAGGTTTTGTTTGTTTGTTTTGTTTCGTCTTGTTTACTTTAGTTGTTTTGTTTTGCTCGAGGACTAGCAAAAGTTAAGTGTGGGGGAATTTGATAGGAGCATATTCATGCGACTCAATTAGCTTGTTCTCGTGCATTTATGTTGTGTTTACTTAGCTATTTTAGTGTTTAAGGCTACTTTTGTGTATTTTCAGATTATAAGGCCAAAGTGTGCAAGAAGATGCAAATTGGAGTATTTTGGAGCGAAAGAGGAATGAATGAGTTGAAGATTTGAAGAAACGACGAATTCCTACGCCAACGATGAATTCTTACCAAAACGAAGAATCCTACTCAAACAAGGCTTCCTATTTTAGGAAAGTTGACCCTAAGTTTCCCGTTTTGGTAACCTTTCCTAATTCTAAACGTCCATATTTTCTAGCCACTTTATAGGCCTCGTATGCACTTTAGGACACAAAACCAAGGCCCTAGCCCTATTTCCCTTCCTAGCCGCACCTTTATATTTATGTTTTAATTTCCTATTTTCGTAAGCCTTTGATTTAATTTTAAATAAGCTAGGGTTAGTTTTCTGAAACCCTACACATAATTTCCACCTAGCCGCAATTCCCATTTTTCATGCATTTGTTTTATTCAGCCACCATTCTATTTTTCTAACCTAATTTCATTCAGGCCGTGGCATCCATTCACCCTAAAATCATCTTCCCATTCTCTCCAAAAAGCCGCACCTACACACCATTCTTTTTGTCTTTTAGCCGCATAAATCATTCCAGCAGCCCCCCAAAACCGAGCCACCATCCCATAAAATATCAACCAGCCGTGACTCCCCTTGACAGCCGCATTTTTGCCCATTATTTCCACCCTAACCCGTGCACCATATCCCATAATTATTCATACAAGCAGCCGCAACAATATCCCATATTTCTTCCCCTTAAGCCGTGACTAATTCCTACCCTACTGCAGTCCCGTGCCTTTCATCCAGCAGCCGCAACCATTCTCCCATTATTCCAAAATTTGCCGCAGCCATAATTCTCCCATTTCATTCATAATCAGCCGCACCATTCCACTACCATTGCCGTGCCTTTTCTCCACCCTTCCAGCCACCATAAATCCATCCCTAAACCAGAAAATCAACCAAAAACACCATTTAACCTCACTGTCGCAGCAAGGAGAAGAGGAAAGAGGACTTAGACGCGCAGAAATTCAAGTGGATTCGTTGGGCGTTCTAGGTGTAATCGTTCCTTTGTTCTTTATGTTTAAATTCAATTTTATTTTTCTTGTTGTGAATATGAGAGGCTAAATCCCCCTAGTTAGCTAGGGGGTGATTCGAAACCATGTTTATGCTTGCAATATGAATTGATTACTTTTGGTTGGAATTTCATGATTGGTGAATTCAATTTGTTTAACTGCTTGATCGATAACTTATTTATGTATGTTTATTGAGAGTGCACGCTTAATTTTCATGCATGAATATGACGCTAGAATATAAGTGAGTTTCACCTAATAGTTATGAATTTATATTCACAAGTAGTGGAGGTTGCTTATAAACAATCGCGTTAAATGAATTCTTGGCACTAGTTTCATGCTCATCATAGTAACGAATGCCTCGTCGACACTTATAGTTTTCATGATGCTTAATGATCTTTGATTGTATCTTTATTGTGCTTTTCACGTAAAGGACTTTTGGAGAATGTTTTGAATTGCGTTGCACTAACCCATCCAATTCACTAACTTAAGGAAAACTTGACGGTTAATTTAAGCGGACCTAATTAACCCGGGGTGTTGAGTTTCATAATTCATCGAAAGACCAACTGAAAATCAAAGTGTATGCAAGTGTGACATGTGTGGAGAAGAACCTTCTAGCTAGCATTCATTCCATATTTCATCACATTCATATTTAAATTCTGCATTTAAATTACAATTTGTGCATTTAATTTATTTTCCTCAAAATCTCAATCCCCCTTTACCTTAGTGTCTAATTTAGTTAGAAAGTGTCTTAGTTTGTGTTTATAAGTGTTTTGTATTTTTTTGAGTCCTTTGATTTGTTTTAGTATTTTATTGTTTAGTTTTACATTCTTTGAGTCTAGTTTAGTGTTTTTAACGTTTGTTTTACGTTTTTGAGTCAGTTTCCAAGTGATTTTGCAATCCCTCCTAATCCCCGGTTAAGAACGATCCCTACTTATTTATATACTACAATTGTCACAAGAGGGTTTTAATTTGTGTGCTTACTTAGTTCGCATCATACAGGTGGCTTCTTATGAGGGTATAATCATTATCTTACCTTGCTATACTTTACTTATGCTTTGTATCACGTGTGAATGGGTCCATACCCGCTCACTGTGTACTCGTATATTGAGGCACTTTTAGATTTAAATTTATTCATAGTTTACACATTATCACATATTTATGGCTTCGTCACCTTTCAGGTGTCGACCAGCACAACTCGATTCGGAGTTCTAGTGGACAATTCGGGTTGGGGTGTGTCAATAATTCGTCCCTAAAGGTCCTTCAAAATTTCCCAAATTAAAATGTAGGCGCTTTTTTTTTTATTTTTTTTTATTTTTTTAAATGTTCATGAACTATTGCATGACGAAATGTGCTAGATTCGTCACTCTTTGTTGTTATGGGTGTCAAATTAGTTTCTTTTCATTGCGCATTGTTCTCAAAATTAGCCAAAAATTGGGCCTTTTTTTTAATTTTTAATTTCATTAAAGGTAAAGTCATTCGCATTATTAGTTCCAGATAGCCTTTCTTTCTCTCATTTTCCAAAACTTATCTCTCTCACTTGAATTCTCTCTCCCTCGAACTCTCTCTCCCTACAACTCTTTCTCTCTCTGCAACTCTCTCTCCCTCAAGCTCTCTATCCCTGTAACTCTCTCGCTCCTGGTAACCTCTCTCCCATAAACTTTATCTCTCTTTCTCAACTTTGAGGTAAATTTCATTTGTTTTCTTCATTTGTTAATTATTTTAGTTGTATGGTATTTGTGGATTGATTACGTATTAGGGTATTAGGCATTAGGGGTTAGGGATTTAGGGATTTTGCCAGTTTGGGTATTTACGGATTTTAGAAATAGGGAATTTAGGAATTTGGCAATTTGGGGAATAGGGCTTGGGGTGGGCGTCAAAGATGGGTGGTGGGGTGTGAGGGTTAGGTTGGGGTGGAGGTGCCGTGAGGTGAGGGTTAGTTTACGATGTTCATTTGTTAACTTTAAAATCATAGGTTTAGGATTTTAGTTTAATTTTTTAATTTTAAGATTAAAATTTTAGTTATAGGTGTAATATTATTAATATAGGGTTAAAATAAAAAAGGATTTAGATGACGTATTACTTGTTGGGATTAAATTGTTAAATTAGTTAAATTTGTTAATATCTAAATCCTAGGTTTACAATTTTGATTTAATTTTATAAATTTAGGATTAATATTTAGGTTATAGGTATAAATTTAAAATTTTTTGTTTTACTTTTTTAATTTTTAGGGTTGCTTTTACAATTTCATAAATTTTGTGTTATGTATAATTATAGGGTCCAATTTTTACTTTTTAAATTATAGGACTTTGTATTGATTATATAAATGGGTATTAATAACATAGTTTTAAATGTTTGTCACTCAATTTGATTTTGTAGATGTCGCAGTTAATTAGGCAGCGTAGGTCAGTGAGTATGTCCCCGTTGACACCTCCACCACCAACGAGTACAATTGCCATCACTCCACCAGCACTAGCCCCAACGTCGAGGGTTGTCTTACCTCTACCCTAGGCCTCGATGTTTGCAATGCCTAAGTCATCTACTTCTTTGGTGACTCATCCATTACTGAGCACCCAACGGACTCATCGACAAGCCCAGATTACCGACGAGGAAGAGGAGTCTGCATTGGATTCTATTGCAGATGGAGATGGAACCGACACAGATAATACATGTTTTTGTGAAAATTTCTAATTTAATAAATTTAATATACTATTATTCGGTTCCCTTATGTATGAATTGTTGGGTACTTGTGTTCGTTGTCTTGTATATTTGTTTGTAGGTTTTGGGAAATGTTGTATTTTTAGGGGAAGTTTTGTCGATTTTTCATAGATTATTTAATTTGTTTTTACACTAGCTTATTTCAATTTTGCAGCTCGTAAAAACACTAGGGGCCCATGCAGACTCATGGGCACCTCACAGCTCACCCGCACTACCCAGGAGCATATAAAGATTACGTGGGATGCTCGATATCAGGCGGCATCAACAAAGGAGCAGCACAATTGTTTGATCCAGGATATTGGCTCTGTTGTGCGTCACCACTGCCCCATGCAATGGGAGTCTTGGAGACTTGTTCCACAGGAGACCAAGGACATCGTTCTTCATGAGCTATCGGTTAGCAAAGTTTTTTTTTTTTCATTATTTTTTAAGTAAATTGTGAAAATTAATAACGGTTAACTTTGATTAATTTTTATCTTATTTATAGCATCACTATGAGCTCGAGGACCTTGATACCAATCAAACCAAATACATCCACAAACTTTTCATTGGACGGTTCACTCAGTGGAAGAGTGACCTCCACAAGTATTTCTAGAAATTCGACGATTCGGTTGTCGCTCTAGCACATGGGTGCCCCTAGCCAAGGCCAACACAATAAATAGGTTGAAGAAGAAGCTTCTCCACCACTTCGGCTCCTGACGCTTCTCATATAGAATAAAGGAGTGACGTCAGGTAACCACGTTTAAAGAAAAAAAAAATAATATTACTTTTACTCTAAATTACACGACTAATAACTCATGTCTTTATTAATTTTTAATGCAGACGAGGTCGAAGTTTTCTGAGATTGACACATTCAAGGAGGTGTATGTGTGGCCTAGCGATGTGTTGACGGAGGATCTCCATGTAAGTCTTTGTAATTTTTAAATTTATAATTCTTATTCATTTTAAATAAATGTTAAATAAATATTAATTAACTTGCTTTATAATTATAGGCTACTATGGTCGAGAGGAGTCCGGTTGTCCTTGAGGAAGTGGCTTCATAGATTCCCCCTGACACCCCGATGGAGGAGTTGCCTCCCCCCTCCCAAGATGCTTGTCTTTGTATCATGACGGACACCCTCGACCAGAAACTCGGTCCTAAGCAGGGGAAGGTGTATCGAGGCATGGGAAATGCCTGCCATCGTGAGATAGGAGCCTCATCTTCCACCTCCACCTTGGTACATATCGCATCATTGACGAAGCAAGTAGCGGAGAGGCTTCAACATCCCCGCCAGTACACCTTCTCCTACCACACCTTCGACCTCCCAAGCCTCCAACCTAACACAGCCGACTACCGAAGCTGACTCTAATGACTTTTTATTGTACTTTTTTTTTTAATTAAACATTTGTACTTTTAAAATTTTTCCCAGCTTGTACATTCTTTTTTATATTTATTTTTAATTAATATTCTTCTTTATCAATTACTGTTCCTAATTCAATTAACCAAACAAAATTATTTTGTTTAAAATTCAGTTTATAAATAATTAAAAAAAAAAAAAATAACAATGGCTTGCACGACGAAATAATTCGTCATCCTATTAACAAACGCAATGACAGAGTACAATCTTGCAGTAAGGAGAGCTTCATCCCATAAAACTATACGCGACGAATGAGTTATTTGTCACTCTTTCTTGTGCCACGAACATCTTTATCCCCTTAAACTTCATGCGACGAGTTCTATTTCATCGTGCCTATAGGTATGTGCGACGATTGGACTTCGTCCCTATACATTTTATGAGACAAACTTAGTTTTTGTTGCACAAAAAACTTTGCGTGACGTCTTTTTTTTATTCGTCATGCAATACCTTTCTTTATGAGCCTTGCACGACAAACACAGCACAACAGATTTTTCGTTGTTTATCATTTTACGCAGCCAAATTTCGCTTTATGCGACGATTTCTGTTTCATTGCCAAAACTGTTTTATGCAGTAGTGTACATTATAACAGGTATGCAATCATTACTACAATATGTGGACTTAGGTTTATGTATGGTGTGTATTTATTACAACATGGGTCTATTCGAAACCCCTTGGCATCCATGTCATGGTTTCTCAAACACACACAATTGTTTCTTGATCGAAACATACACACAATAAGTTGACTAAATATTACTAGTAATCTATTAGGGTTGGCCAATGAACATGGTAAGAAGCAACAAATAAGCCTCTTTTGGTTGATCATCATCGAGCCAAGTTTTATATTTTGTCCAAGTATTCATTTATCACCTTCTGTAGCGCTTTCCATTTTGCTTCCAAAATTTATAAATTATACAACTAGTCATTGATATTGTGATATCTGTTGAAGCTGCTAGTTCTGTTATCTTATCTTTAATAGATCAAATGAAAGCATAGAATAATAGAGGGGAACCGGGAGAGAGAGAGAGAGAGAGAGAGAGAGAGAGAGTGATGAAGTTAGCTAGGGTTTCACTGGAGACTCTTGTACATGACCCCGTTACCCTTGTAGCTATTATATCCAATCATGCGTACAGCCAACGGAGATACTATGGGCTTCCTTCCCTTCTTTAATGCCTTACTCACTGAGCACAATCTCTACCCCAGATCCGGCCACCTATTTACAAGTATTACTATATTGAGGCTTTGGGTCAATGTGGTATGATGTACCATGCGTCATCACTTTTTATGTATGATGACTCCTCGTAAGACGCATCGAAATTGCCGGAGAGCTACATTTTCTATTCTGTTTTTGGTTTAGAAGAAAATACTTCTTCACTCTTAACTTTTTTTTTAGAGTTAAAAACCTTTTTGTCACTGTGTTTATGTTTAAATCCATTTTTGTCACGAATTTTTTTTTTTGAACAAACGATATTATCTACATTAAGGAAGAAGGGATGAGCTTAGCCTCATAATAGGCTAGCAATAATGTGGTTCAAACTCGCCTTTGGCGGGAATCAAACTTAAGACCTCTCACTTACAAGTGAAGAGGAATACCACTAGACTATAGTACTAAGTGGCTGGTCATAGTATTTTTAATTTAGTATTTTGTCACTGTTTTATAAAGTTTATAATCTTAGTCACTTTTGTTAACTTTATGTTAAAATGATTAATTATTCATTTGTTAATTAAAAATTATTTTGAAGTTGTAAGTTTATTTAATTGAAGAACAATAGAGAGGGAGAGAGAGGGGCGTGGCAAGGAGTATAGATAGATTTGATGATTTATGAGGTATGTATCTCACACTTTTTTTTGCTAAACAAGGAAATTTAATTAGATAGCTCTAGTACAACCATGCCCCATACAATAAAAAAGAAAGCATTGTAAGCATTATTAGGTATACAAGCATTCCAAATGTGCAGATTTTCAACTTGATGCCAAAACGTTACTAGTGCATCTACCACAAAATTTGCTATTCGAAAAATATGAGCCCACCCAATCTCGAAGAAGAAATAGGAGAGCTAATTGACATCACCCAGAACTGACCTTAGGTTCCAAGGAATGTTACATCGGCCTTGAACATCATCAATTATTAACTTTAGATCTCCTTTGATAATTCACCCAAAACTCGTCCCGTGGAACAGCTTGTTCCACTCATTTTAGGCGCACCAAACGTGGGACGGAACGCTTTGTCCTACTTTGTTCCGTCCCGTCTCACGTACCAAACGGTACCTAAGCGCCGTTGCCTCCGCCACGGGGATGGTGTTTTCTCCCCAGTTTTGAGGCCCAACAATGACCGGTGTACCAACGTGATCTCTAGTAATGAAACCTGCCGCCGCCAAGCTTTGACAGACAAGCCCATCAAAGTTGATTTTGACAAAATGGTCCTTAGGTTTGGTCCAAGTAATCCTTTCCATGCTCCTTCCCGCAACATGAGCTCGAACCATATTGTTGGCTGAGAAAAAAGCTTTTCTAATACTGTCCGCAATACTAATCCTGGTTCTTGCCATAGGTTTAGACTTTCTAAAAGCAAAATCATTTCTGTCATTCAAAATTTGCCAACAAACTAACAAAGCCTTACTTAAATGGCTCAATTCCATATTATCTAAATTAGGCAGAGTATTTAGCCAGTCTATTAGACTCGCACTATTCCTAGCGGTGTTATGACCCCAAACATCCTTCGCATATTGACATTCCAGGAAAAAATGATTTTGGTCTTCAAGATTCAGATTACTATAAAGGCAATTAGTATCAATGTTCTTGATATACTTATCTTTTTCCTGGTTTGTAATCTATTTCTAATTTGTAGCCAACTGAACGTTTTTTTATTTTGGTGGTATAGTTAACTTCCACATTTTGCTCAAAAGCTTCAGACTTGTAATATGTCAACATATCATTTTGTCACCAAGTAGCAGATTTAACAGTGGGCTTACCATTAGCATTAGCTCCCTACACAATACAATCTCTAGTCTCCTGGAGAGGAATAGAGATGTGACATATTTTCCTCGCAATATTTCATCCGCATACTGGGTCAGCATATTCCAATCCTAGCAATTATTCGCTCTAAATTGGTTTACTTCTATATTTAAATCGAGGACGTCTTTGATTTTCAGGGATGAGATTAAGCAGTGTGTCTGGAAAAATCCAATGGTGAGTCCAGAACAGTATGTTCCTGCCATTGCCCCAGAGCCCATTTCATATCCTTAATAATTATATATCTACTTTCCAAAATTCCTTTCCAAGCTGTAGAGTAACACTGTCTAACCTTACATTACCTAGTTCTCCTTATGAAGGCACTTCCTCCTCACAATTTGAACCAACCAATTATTATGATCTGTTAGAATTTTCCATCCCAATTTTGCTAAATAGGCATCGTTGAAATGTTCCAAGTTTCTAATTGCTAAACCCTCAGACTTTTTAGAAGTACAGACATCCTTCCATGCAATGGGATTCATATTATTCTCATGGCCCCAGGCAAAGCTTCCTACATTCTTTTTTCAGTTTAGCAGTTAATTTATTTGGGCATATAAAACAAGACATTACATGATTAGGCATACTAGTAAGGTTAGATTGGACAAGAGTTAAAACACCAGCTTTAGAAGGGGTATTAACCTTCCAACCAGTGAGTTTTTATTTGACTCTTCTTAATAGCTCATTACCATTCATAGCATCTTTCCAAAAAACAATATTGTGAATTCCTAGATATTTCCCAATTGTAGTTTTGTGTTGAATTTGCATAAACTAAACAATCTCATTCCTCTGGTTGTTAGTATTATTATAGAAATAAAGGGATGACTTGTGCAAATTTACCTGTTGGACCAGAGGCCTTGGCAAAGAAGTTCAGGATTCCCAAAATATTTCTCGCAGCCCTTGATGTAGCTCTTGCAAACTGGAGGCAATCATTTGCAAGCGCCAAATTGGAAACTTTGTAGCCAAATGGGGGCGAGGTTAAATACACAAATAAATATATATGGTGATCGAGGATCACCTTGTCGGATTCATCTCTTAGAGTAAAAACAGCCATGTTCAGGCCATTGATCAAAATTGGGAAGGATTTTGAAGTTATGCATTTCATAATTAAATTACACATCTTGAATAAAAAATTGATAAGCACAAACCTGATCGAATCCCAGTTGAGCATATCATAGGCCTTTTCCAGATCCATATTGATAGCCATGTTGCATGTTTGTCCTTTCTTCCTTTTAAAGTTTTAGAGAAAATCTCATGAGCAATCAAAATATTATCCTGTATTGATCGTCCTAATGCAAAAGCACCATGGTTCTTTGAGGTTAAAAGATCAAAATCGGCTTTAGCATCTTAATTAAAACATTGTAATAATTTGTAACTTACATTACAAAGACTTATAGGTCTATAATTGCTAACAACCTGGGGATTCTCCACTTTAAGGATGAAAGCTATATTTATCCACCTCATACTAATGTTTTTATCAAAGAAGTCTTTCATAAGACAGACCCATAATCTTTAAAAGTGTCTCAACAACCTTGGTTAAAACTAGCATGTAAACCATCAAGGTTTGAGGCTTTCAGCACACCAATGCTATTTACAACTTCCTACACTTCCTCCTCACTTATTGGCTGAAACAGCATAGCATTATTATGGGACCATGATTTTCAAGAGCAGGAGTAAGGTTGATTAAAATACAGTTACCTCAGAAGTCTGGTTATGGACTCACCAACTCCGAGTGGAGCCGTATCAGATAGAGCACTGGTGCCACCATCACTCTACTCCGGGGCACTAGTTGGAGTCCTAGCGTCTCCACTGGATGACAATACTTGTTCGCAAAAGACACGATGTGATCCGGATACGAGCACAAATAAGATCCTATAAGTCTCAGAGTACTTACAATCTAGGAATTAACATGTGCCTCAAGTAATCATAACTCTTAAGAGGATGCAATATCTATTTCTAAATATCCTTTAGGATTCTCCTGGCTTAGAACAAGGATTCTATCCTAAAAAGATCTTTCTCCCCATGGTCTAATGTTCATCTATGGTAA